ATGAAATTAGATATTAAATGATGGATAATAAATGTTGTCCTGACTTTAATTAATTAATATTTTTATAATAATCAAATGAAAATATTTCAATATCATATATATACATACATATATATATATATATATATATATATATATATATATATATATATATATATATATATATATATATATCGGTTGCATAAATCGTAATATTATTATCGTTATATGATCGTATTTGTTAATATTTATTTTTAATTTACCGACATAGTTCCAAAACACCATTAACTAAACTAACTAAAGGCTATAGCACAGCTTGAGAAGTAGAGACAACATCAACAACATCAACAATAACAACAACAACAACAGTGCCAACACTGTAGATACCAACGCCACAACCCACAGCGCAAATATCACTTGCAAATGGAACATCATCACAAGAAGCAAGAAGAACCACAGCGATGATAATAATAACGTTAACAATAATACTAATAATGTTTTTAAATATTGTAAAAATAATATTAATAATATGTAGTTAATTAAATAAATTAATTCGCGCTTCTCGGCTGAGCGTTGATTTTTACCTTAACAACCATAATATAAACAATCTTGCCGTTAAAATTTTAAAAATCGCGTTATTAGTTATTAAATTTATTTTATTGGTTTTCTGTTTTAATTAAATAATTTATATAAATTAATAATTACTTGTTCCTTCTTATCAAATATCTTACAGACCTTATATGCACTGAAGATGAGTTATCTATAACTCGAAATAGCTATTTGCAAATTTATTTAATAAAATTTTTAAAAAACAATAAAATGTCTAATTTCTCTGAAATTAATAAATTAAAAAGAAATATAAAAAAGTTGAACAATGTTGAAAGTAGTGTTGAATTTTTGAAATGTTGCGTTAACAACAGTCTGTTACCAAAATGTATGTATGCTTGTATGTGTGTATATATATATATATATATATATATATATATAGATATGCATTTGATAATGTGCATAGTTTCTTACTTTGTTGGTATAAATATGTTCCAAATTTATCATTTACTTTTTTAATTTACTTTTTGTTATTAAATTTTATTCATCAATCGTTTATCTTATTTTTAATGTGCAATATCCTTTTTATCAAAGTCAATAACTTTATTTGGTTAATTTGTTGTCATTAAACTAATGTATTTCATTTTCATTTACTAATTTTTAATTATTAATTTGTTTCTTAGAGTATATATATACATATATCATGTACGAGTTAGGGATTAGACATTAAAATAAAATCTGGTCCAGCGCCGGCGCGAATTAGAGTGCTTACAATAAATCCGGGCCGATGCCGGCGCGAATTCGACTTGTTGGCGCAAAAATCCGGGCCAATGTTGGCGTGACGATTTCGAGCCGGCGCCGGAACTTTTTTCACATCCATCTCCGTTTTGCTGCTGTGGACCATCAACAAGCCGGCATCGATGCCGGCATTCGGCTAGCATTTTACCGGAAAATTTTGCTATCTGGGTCTATCATGCTCAAATGTTATATCATGCTTAAAATAAATAAAGATTTTGGTTTTGAACTCAAGAAACTTGACAATGATTTACGATCTACCGTTAGTAAATTAGTAAATATCGAAAAATTAAACAGGAAGCTAACTAACGCGGAACATGTCATATAATATATATATATATATATATATATATATATATATATATATATATATATATAAAATTCCATTTATTCAATAATCTCAAATAATTTATGCAACAAATAATGACATAAATTGAAGAAAATTATAAGGTTGATCGAGAAAAAAACCAAAAAAGTTTATCCAGTCCGACCACCTTTTATCACTTTTATAATTGTTAATAGTAATTAGGTATTGAAATGATATATATATATATATTATATATGTTTCAATATATTTATGACTTTCCATAGTTTCAGACAATCTTATATTATTGCTAACTTGACTAACTTGCACGTGTATGCTTTTTCGCTTTTTGTCGACTTATGTGTCTTCTAATATTTCAATTAACGTTTCTTTAATAAACAATTATATTAAAAACAAACAAAGAGGTTCTTTATTTTAAACAAAGCTTGGGACCCAACATTAAAAAGTTGATCAGCTCCGTCGATTCTCTTAGAAAGAATGTTATAGAAAAGGAGTTAAATATTAAAGTTCATCTTGACAAGGATTTGTGTGAACCATGTCTCTATGGTAAAGCACATCGGTTAAAATTTGGCAAGAGAAATGCAACCAATAAACCAGGTGAACTACTATCAGCAGATGTTTGTGGTCCTTTCAGTACAGAATCATTTAATAGTAAACGATATTTTGTTGTTTTGTTGAATTTCCAGTCGCTATGTGGGCTGAGTTATGTTCAAATGCAGTATATTTACTTAATCAAACAGGCAAGTCGTCGATTGAAGATAAAAGCCCATTTGAAATTTGGACAGGTAAAAAGCCGAGAATTAACCATTTGAGAATAATTTGCTCTACATGTTTTGTTCATATACCTGATCAAAAACGTCAAAAAATGGATAAGAAAGCCATAAAAGGTTACCTTGTTGGTTACGATGGTGACGAACGCTATCGTATATGGCTCAAAAATCAATATAAAATGATATTCTCAAGAGATGTAGTTTTCCAAGAAAAACCTATGAAATGTATAACATCATTTGAACATCAGACTCAAAAAGATTTTACAACAGATCCTCAAATCAATTGCAAATCAGAAAATGACTCGAGTAGTAGAAATGATGATTCAAAAGAAGAAATTACAGATGACACTGAGAAGATTATAGATAATTCAGTTAAAGTTCAACTCAGAGGTAGGTCAAGTTTGCAGAAACCTAAGAAGTTAGATGATTATGTGATGCAGGCTGAGACATATTTATTAGATGTACATGAACCAGATACATACGAAGAAGCCATTCAAAGCAGGGAAAGTAAATATTGGAATGATGCCATGAATAATGAAATTAATTCATTAAACAAAAATAGAACTTGGGAACTTTGTGAGCTACCCAGAGGAGCTAAAGTTATTCCATGTAAATGGGTTTACAAAATAAAAACCCTGCCAGACGGAAGTGTAGATAGATACAAGGCAAGACTTGTGGCAAAAGGATTTTCACAACGACAAAATGTAGATTGCAATCAGACGTTTAGTCCAGTAGTACAGTTGACTACAGTTCGCTCTGTACTAAGTATTGCAGCAAGTGAAAAACTGCATCTTCTTCAATTTGATGTATCAACTGCATTCCTGTATGGTGAACTTGATGAAGTGATCCACATCAAACAACCAGAAGGCTCAAATAAAGTTTGTCGATTGCTCAAAAGTCTGTATGGTCTAAAGCAAGCACCTCGTTGGAATCAATGCTTCGGCAAGTTTCTTTTTGAATGTGGCTTTAAGTCGAGTGAAGCGGATCCATGCCTGTATGTTAAAAAACAGAATGAAAACATTATGATGTTAGCATTGTACGTTGATGATGGACTGGTAGCCGCTAGCAACACAGAAGATTTAGATCTATTCATTGGAAAATTGAAGCTGAAATTTCAGGTTACAGTTAAACCTGCAACATATTTTCTAGGTCTTCAAATAGGAACTCTATTGGATGGAAGCATAAAAGTTTGTCAATCTGGTTATGCAAGGAAAATTCTTAAACTTTTCAGATTTGAAGAATGTAAACCAGTTCACACCCCAATGCTTAAAGAAAATGATAATAATCAATCAGACATAGCAAGTTCAGAATACCCTTTTCGATAACTAGTCGGAGCATTAATGTACCTGATGTTAGGTACAAGGCCAGACATTGCGTACAGCATTAGCTATTTATCAACACCAGGAGATATAATAAAAGCAAAACGAGTGCTTAGATACTTAGCAGGAACAATCGATCAGAGCATTGTGTACAGATCAGACAGTGCAAAAGGAGTTTTACAGTGTTTCTGTGATTCAGATTTTGGAGGCTGTAGAAAGACTGGACGTTCGACCACAGGTATTGCAGTGATATATGCAGGAGGCATAATATCATGGATTAGTCAACGACAGGCCATAGTTGCAACATCTACAACAGAGGCTGAGATCATCGCTGCGACAGAGGCTGTCAAAGAAATAATTTGGCTTCAAAGATTATTCAAATCATTACAGGTTGATTTGAAAGATGTGCCAATCTTGCAAGTTGACAACAGTGCTGCAGTCAAATTAGCTCAGAACCCACAATTTCATCGGCGAACAAAACACATTGACTTGAAGAACTTTTTTATTAGAGAAAAAATTCAAGATGGAACAGTTGATATCACACAAATTTCAACAAGTGATCAAGTCGCTGATGTGATGACAAAGCCACTGGACAGAGTCAGACTGAAACTCCTGTGTGGACATATGGGACTAATGTCATATAATGTTTTGAAACAAGGGAAAGTATTGAAATAATATATATGTATATTATATATGTTTCAATATATTTATGACTTTCCATGGTTTCAGACAATCTTATATTATTGCTAACTTGACTAACTTGCACGTGTATGCTTTTTCGCTTTTTGTCGACTTACGTGTCTTCTAATATTTCAATTAACGTTTCTTTAATAAACAATTATATTAAAAAACAAACAAAGAGGTTTTTTATTTTAAACAGCAACGAATTAGTCTGAAGGACCACATCAAATCTACCGAAATCCTGCGTCGTGCTGGTTTAGATGATATAAAGGACGAATGCCGGCAACACCGTCTGCGGTTGTTTGGTCATGTCAAACGAAGTGGAAACAGTGCCATAACTTCTCTTGCAGATGTTGAAGTACCTGGCACACGTCCCAAAGGCCGTCCAAAGAAGTCCTGGTCGCAAACAATCGAGTAGGACATGAAAGCTCTAAATTTAAATGAAATGGATACAACTGATCGTCTAATTTGGCGCAAAAAGTTGATGGCAAAGGAAACAACGTCCTACCTCGGGAAACGGGGTCTCTGGACACAAAACGAAGATTGATTGATTGAATTATTTTTATTAGTACAATCACTATTTGGACTTTTATAAATAATTAAAATAAGTATAAAATCTATGATATCATTAATTTTTAAACACAAAACGCTATTAATCCCATCACATTTTTTTTCATCATAATTCCTGTCACTTTCCTTCAGCCTAAAAAATATAATATTATTTTTCCTATCCTCACCGCCTTTCAAAGCCTGCATCCTGACCTTAGTTGACATAACCTTTTTTTTATTGCTAACATACTATAACAAAGAGCTTGTTCCAAATTATCTTTAACATATTTAACTTTGATGCTAACCTGTTCAGTTTTCTTATTAACTTCTAACTATATCAGCCCCTTAGAATTGATATGCTGTCAGATTGTTATTCCAGCAACCAAAAATTTTTATCACAAAACAAATGCATTCAGCAAGATGCAAAAATAACTTATATTCAATGCATAACAATTTTGCGGACTGCATTAAAAAATAAATCTTAATGATCCTGGAACAACTTGTACGTTAATAAATATTTTTGATCCTCCAAGCAAGTTTCAGCGATTTTTATAATTGAGTTAATATTAGTCACAAAACCTGCAAAAGATGTTTGGCTTCAAAAAATATCAAAGACTATAAAATTAATATGGTCCCCTTTCACATAGTATATGTAACGATAAAATGAAATTTCTTTGTGTTATATTCTGCATATATACAGAATATTGCGTATTTCTATTCTATGGTAAACAACGAAACAGCAACTTTAGTTTCTGGTATATATATCCATGGTTTCTGGTCTCGTTTTTATTTATGATATGACCATGACAATAATTTTATTTTGCCAAAAAGCAGGAAGATTTTTATTAGGCATTCTTTATCAATTATATTGATTTCTTAAAATCGAGCAAATGTCGAATTCATTTGTGGCACCAACTCATTCCCACTTACCGGAGATAGGACATGACAGCAACTTGTTGTTTGAGTTCCTGGCATTCGTACAATCAATTGTTATTCTTGGATGTCAGTATTTAAACTTGTACAGGGCTGTTTGGTGGTTGCCCTATTCAACTGTTAGCTATGCCATCGTTAGTAGTATTCAAATAAAACAAATAATTGTTGCTTATATATATGATATTTTGATTTACACTTATTTTTGCTTATTTACTGACAACATACATTTAATTTAAACATTTTAAACTGGTACAGTATTTTATAATTATTATTTATAATAAACAAATCAATAATAAAATTTATTTCAGTATCTCATATGTTTATTTATAGTTTATACCAATATATATATATATATATATATATATATATATATATATATATATATATATATATTTATATACCTATAAGTAGTTGCACAAGAAAAAAAATGCATGAAAAAAATTTTTCAACTTTATTTTTATAATCTGCAACTTATTAGCAACCTAGCGAGCCCAAATTTATATATATACACCAAAAACTGATGTAGGTATAGCAACATTAAGAATGTAAAAAATTTGTTCACTACACCATGCATTTGTCAACAAAAATCGGGGATCCAGGGGGAAAGCGAAGATAACGTGCAGCGCGACACATATTAATTTATTTTTTAAATGAGTGAATATTTGTACAATTATGTTGAAACATTTGACAATTTATTTTTATTGTTTAAAAACGTATTTAACAGTGAAAGTGAAGTCATATGCATTATGAGTAATCTAAATGTAGTTAAACTTAAAGTGAAAAAAAAACTACAAATTAAAGACCTGAATGTTATGAAATGATTGCTATATTCAATTTGAACACATTTAATTTTTGATAATAAGAATTGAAATAAAATCAATCTAATGTGCAGTTAATTTTTTTATAACAAAATTTATTAAATTTTCTGTCAGGATGTCTTCATTGCTTCAATAAATTTGTAAACTTGAAACAGATCCCTTTGCTCTTAATTCACATTCTGATAATAATTCAACAATTATTCTAATTATGCAATTTCATTTTTCAATTTTATAACATAAATGATTTTCTTATTCATCCCTAAAATAAATAGCAGTGCTAAATAAATAAAGCAATTTTTAATAGAATTTAATGAATAGTTGATTAATGAATTTAATTAAATCAGGTTACATCATCCAATATAATGAACCATTCGCTTTCAAATTTTTCTAATTATTTAACAAAAATATAAACAAAATAAAATAAAATCGTCAATGAGTTTTAGATAGAAGTTACGAAGTTAAGCTCTACTGTAACATACTAAATCAATAGTAAAAGTAGATCATTAAATAAAAACCTGTGGTGATAATAGGTGCCTTACGAATAAAATAATCTGTCGTACCAAGCCTTCTTTCATCATGCATAATATGAGTAGGTGCTAAAGAAGAGTCCAGTATCATTTGAGAAATAGGATTTGAAAAATCTCCGGTAAGATAGCTGCTCATCCATCTTTCAACAACATGTAATGCCACCTGTGACATTAAAAAATTAGGTTAATGGCATATATTTTATATTGTGCAGTGTCTGCTAATCACAAGGCTACCTGAACAAGGGAAGAGAAAATGGAAATTAGAAGCTTGTTATCATATCTCGAAGTGATCAGTGGCTGAAAAACTTCATCCTCTTTCAAGCTTTCTCCAAATACATCACATTTCACTGATAAAATATTTTGAAGATCTTGTTGCGTTTTGTTCAAGTTTTCAACTGCTAATTTGAATGCAGGAACCTGTATGTAATAATAATAATAGATTGTGGTTTTGAGAGAAATAAAACATATATCATGTGTGTACCTATCGTAACGTAAGTTCATGCATCCGTACACCGTCTTCGTTTTGAGACCCGTAGCCAAAGCCTCCATGGACACCGTGGAACCCATTTGCTTCAGATTCACCGGCCTGTGGTGCATATTCAGAAAAACAGTCAGAACCTGTTTCCCCATTCTGAGTTTAATCAGCATAAGGCGTCAGCTGATTCGAGTCATCTCCAGTACATTTTGTGCCAGTGATTCCGTATGAAGATTCCCACTCCATTTTGGGCTGTCTTTTGGTCATTCCAGAACAACTTGTAACTCCCAATGAAAGAGACACCATTTGATTTTCCTGCAGAGTACATGTCAACCCTTTGCCTTTCCAGCATGTCGACGATATCTATGGAGTGTTCAGTAAGCGATCCGGTTTTTAAAGTGCCAAGCCTGATATTCCGTGGGGACGCCAGATTTACCGCAACATCCCTCCACTGTTGCTTATTTTCTGGATATTGTCACCCCTTGACCATTTAAGGTCTTCCAGGGGAAAGACCTTAAAGGATCAAAGGGGATTTTTTTTTTTTGTGATGACATGGAAGATGTTTGGGCCAAAAAAATTTTTATATTTGGAATTGCTCAATTTCTAACGACAACCACCAGTTATAAGCAGCGGGCCTAGCCTTTTTGCTGGAAGCACACAAGGCAGCGCGGTTGCAGTTTATCTCGTGCCCAAGAGAGCACTGTTGTAAGCAGTGCACCTAGCCTTTGGGTCAAAGGTCCCTGTTCCACAAGGCAGTATTAGTATTTTAGTGTGAGAATTGGATCTTGGATTGTAGGTACGTTGTCTGGGGAAAAGCATATAAGTTACTGAGGCACTACCGTGGAAAAGAATTGATAATTGCTGTTTACAAAAAATTTGGTGGAGGAATCAAGGGACCAGACTTATAAAATTACTAAAAAAAGTATAAATTATTATGGCCAGGAAATGATAAAGCTGAAGCAGGAGTGGGAATAATGATTAGTGATAAATTTGATAAATAAGGTGGTTGAAGTAGTATAGAGCAGCAACAGGTGCATGATGGTAAAACTATCAACTGGAGAGGGGTTCTTAAATGTAATTTATGGTATGCTTCGCAGATCAGTAGAAAAGAGAAGGATAAGGAGAACTAGGATACCTGAAAAAATGGTGATTTTAAGTGGGAACTTAAATGGACATGTTGGAGAAGAATAAAATGGTTATGAACAAGTCCATGGCAGAAATGGGCAGGGAGAAAGAAACAAAGATGGTGAAAGAATTTTAGATTTGTAATCGGCTGGGACATTTTACAGTACATGATTTAAGAAGAAATCAAGGCATTTAATAATTTATGAATCATGAGAGGTCAGGAGCCGAGTAAGTTTTATTTTAGCACAAAGAGAAAACCACAGGTGCTTAAAAGATGTGTAATGAAGAATGTGCTAAGAGCAGAAGCTCATGGTATGTGATTTTGTACTAAGGCAGGGAAAAAAGACAAAAAAGATTACGGAGCCCAGAATTAAAAGTTGGAAATTGAGAAAAGCGGAAACCTTGAGAGCTTATCAAAATATGGTTCGAACACGGGGTTACATTGATAAGGATCTGGATGTTGAGAAATCATGGGTTTAAATGAAAATAGTAATAGGATTAGGGCAAGTGTGTGGTGAAGAAGTCGAAGGAAATTTAATACCATGTGCAAAATGTGGCAAACGATGCAGTGATTTAAAAGGAGACGTCAACAAAAGCAAAAAAGTTGTGTGTAAAAATGTAAGCGAAATGGTGGTATTGACAATGGGCATCTTGAAAATTTGGGATTTGAAAGAGTGGGTTTTTTTATTTTTTAGGTGATATATTTTAATTTTATTTATTTATTAAAGAACTGTGAGGCCAGAAGTTATTGCTAACTTGTACGGACTCGGTATGTACATAAAACGATATAAATATATATATGCAAAATATACATACATACATTCACATACCCTTACATATGATCATGGAGGATAAATTGTATATAAAAAACAGAATACAGAAATGTGTATCAGTGACATAATAAAATGAAATAAATTAACAAAGAAGTCTTACTTAGACAGTGAAAATGAGTGGTAGAATATACATTATATATTGACTGTAGCAAGATAAGGATAAAATACTGAAAGTATATAACAGAAAAGTGGTAAAATGAAAACTAATGTATAGTTGCATGAAGGGTGGATTGGATAGAGCGATCAAGAATAGATTAAAATTATGATGGAAAAAATTCAGAGAAATTACTTCAGGGCTCTGTTCTCTGTGTATATCATTGGGCCCGAAGGGTAAAGTATGTAAAGCATGTGTAAGAAGTTACCTGTTTTATGGCTGCGAAACTTTGGCTACGTTTGTTTAAAACTTAAGAAGGCTGGAGAGAACAGAAATGCAAATGTTGAAAAAAAATTAACGGGAGTATCCTTGAGAAATGGTCTAAGTAATGAGGTAATAAAGAAGGGTTAGGGATAGATGAGTTGTCAGATGTAATTAGAGGTATTATACTGAGATGGTTTGGCCACGTGGATAGGAAAGCAAATGAGGATTTGGTAAATAAATTTAGAACAATTATATCTGGTAGTTTAAGGATAAGGGCAGGCCCAAGCTTACCTGTAAAGAAGTGTTGTCATCGGACGTGACGGCACTGGGTCTGAAGCCAGAAATGGTCCAGATTTTAGATAATGGAAAAGACGATTAAATGTGCATTATCATGCGACAAAGCCAACCTGGGGTTTTCATCAGCGAACTCTGGAACAAACACTGGGCGGTTCTGTCTATAAACATACATCATGATGGTACATCGAACTCATATGTAGTAGACATATATATATATATATATATATATATATATATATATATATATATATATATATATATATTTACAATATTCTATAAATTCTACCGAATGTTTACCGAACTACAAACATATTAACGCCAAACATTCGGTAGAATTTATAGAATATTGTAAAAATTATGGTCTATTACCAACACACACACACACACACACACACACACACATATATATATATATATATTATATGATTATTTATGTAGCGCCTATTAAAAACATTCTCATAGCCGCTTTATAACTATGGCAATTTTCTACAAGGAAAAAAGATATGTCTTCAATTGACTTTTGAACTGGGGAAGTGTCAGACCAAACCGGCGCAAAAAATATGGAAGTTCATTCCAATGCCTTGGTCCATAAACTGCAAAACTACGTGATGCAATCTTTAATTTAGTAACCGGGACCACTAACAAATTTCCCCGATCTGATCGTGGGCCAGTTTTTAAAGAAATCGATGATCTGTCAATCA